ATATCGGAATCTATGGGACACATTGAAAGCAGTTCTAAGAGGAAAATTCATTGCTTGGAGTTCATTCCTTAAAAAAAGAAAAAACCAACAAATAAATGATCTCATACTTCATCTCAAAATCCTAGAAAAAGAAGAGCAAAACAACAGCAAAAGAAGTAGAAGGCAAGAAATAATTAAAATCAGAGCTGAAATTAATGAAATCGAAACAAAATAAACAATTGAAAAAATTGACAAAACTAAAAGTTGGTTCTTTGAAAAAATAAATAAAATTGACAGATTTTGGCCAGAGCAATTAGACAGACGAAACAAATTAAAGGCATAAAAATAGGAAAAGAAGAATTTAAATTATCACTATTTGCAGATAACATGATTCTATACCTAGAAGACCCAAAAGGGTCTACAAAGAAACTATTAGAGCTAATAAATTAATTCAGCAAAGTGGCAGGATATAAAATCAACACACATAAATCAAAGGCATTCCTGTATATCAGCGACAAATCCTCTGAAATGGAAATGAGGACAACCACTCCATTCACAATATCCTCAAAAAAAAAATAAAATACTTGGGAATCAACCTAACAAAAGAGGTGAAAGACTTATACAATGAAAACTACAGAACCCTAAAGAGAGAAATAGATGAAGATCTTAGAAGATGGAAAAATATACCCTGTTCATGGATAGGCAGAACTAACATCATCAAAATGGCGATATTACCAAAAGTTCTCTATAGGTTTAATGCAATGCCAATCAAAATCCCAACGGCATTTCTTGTAGAAATAGAGAAAGCAATCATTAAATTCATATGGAAAAATAAAAGACCCAGAATAGCAAAAACAATGCTAAGCAGGAAGTGTGAATCAGGCGGTATAGCGATACCAGACTTCAAACTATATTACAGAGCAATAGTAACAAAAACAGCATGGTACTGGTACCAAAACAGGCGGGTGGACCAATGGTACAGAATAGAGGACACAGAAACCAATCCACAAAACTACAACTATCTTATATTTCATAAAGGGGCTAAAAGCATGCAATGGAGGAAGGATAGCATCTTCAACAAATGGTGCTGGGAAAACTGGAAATCCATATGCAACAAAATGAAACTGAATCCCTTTCTCTCGCCATGCACAAAAGTTAATTCAAAATGGATCAAGGAGCTTGATATCAAATCAGAGACACGCCGTCTGATAGAAGAAAAAGTTGGCTACGATCTACATACGGTGGGGTCGGGCTCCAAATTCCTCAATAGGACACCCATAGCACAAAAGTTAATAACTAGAATCAACAAATGGGACTTATTCAAACTAAAAAGTTTTTTCTCAGTAAAAGAAACAATAAGAGAGGTAAATAGGGAGCCTACATCTTGGGAACAAATCTTTACTCCTCACACTTCAGATAGAGCCCTAATATCCAGAGTATACAAAGAACTCAAAAAATTAGACAATAAGATAACAAATAACCCAATCAACAAATGGGCCAAGGACCTGAACAGACACTTCTCAGAGGAGGACATACAGTCAATCAACAAGTACATGAAAAAATGCTCAACATCTCTAGCAGTCAGAGAAATGCAAATCAAAACCACCCTAAGATACCATCTCACTCCAGTAAGATTGGCAGCCTTTATGAAGTCAAACAACAACAAGTGCTGGTGAGGATGTGGGGAAAAGGGTACACTTGTACATTGCTGGTGGGACTGAAAATTGGTGCAGCCAATTTGGAAAGCAGTATGGAGATTTCTTGGAAAGCTGGGAATGGAACCACCATTTGACCCAGCTATTCCCCTTCTCGGTCTATTCCCTAAAGACCTAAAAAGAGCATGCTACAGGGACACTGCTACATCGATGTTCATAGCAGCACAATTCACAATAGCAAGACTGTGGAACCAACCTAGATGCCCTTCAATAGACGAATGGATAAAAAAAATGTGGCATTTATACACAATGGAGTATTACTCTGCATTAAAAAATGACAAAATCATAGAATTTGCAGGGAAATGGATGGCATTAGAGCAGATTATGCTAAGTGAAGCTAGCCAATCCCTAAAAAACAAATGCCAAATGTCTTCTTTGATATAAGGAGAGTAACTAAGAACAGAGTAGGGACGAAGAGCAGGAGAAGAAGATTAACATTAAACAGGGATGAGAGGTGGGAGGGAAAGGGAGAGAGAAGGGAAATTGCATGGAAATGGAAGGAGACCCTCAGGGTTATACAAAATTACATACAAGAGGAAGTGAGGGGAAAGGGAAAAATAATACAAGGGGGAGAAATAAATGACAGTAGAGGGGGTAGAGAGAGAAGAGAAGAGGGGAGGGGAGGGGAGGGGAGGGGGGATAGTAGAGGATAGGAAAGGCAGCAGAACACAACAGACACTAGTATGGCAACATGTAAATCAATGGATGTGTAACTGATGTGATTCTGCAATCTGTATACGGGGTAAAAATGGGAGTTCATAACCCACTTGAATCAAAGTGTGAAATATGATATATCAAGAACTATGTAATGTTTTGAACAACCAACAATTAAAAATTTAAAAAAAAAAAAAGAAGGAAGGAAGACAGGTCATGTACAGTGGTGCACATTGGTCATCCTAGCTACTCTGGAGGCTGAGGCAGGGGGATCAATAGCTTGAGGCCAGCCTGGGCAACCTAGCAAGAGTATGTAGTTCAGTGGTAGAGTACTTGGGCAAGGCCATAGATTCAATCTCCTGTACCATAAAAGAAAAGAAAAAAAGTAAAGAAGGAAGACAGAATAACTAGAAGTCATTTCAATAGGATAGGAAGTACACATCGCCTGACTTTAGTGAAGTACAAAGCAATATCTACAGTGCAGATAACAAATTTAGAGTTTATACAATGAGGAAAGAATCAGAATGGATACTATGAAAATTAGTATAGAGTAACAATTAGAAATTTTTTTTAATTCTAGGAAGTTCTAAAGAATATGGAAAGGCAACTGTTAACTATGAACTTACCTATTTAATTAATTAACTTAAACTTCCTATTTAATTAAGTGAAGTAGAAAAAATAAACAGTAAGTGCTGGAGGTATTGCCTTGCATGCACAACACCCTGGGTTTGATTCTTAGCACCAAAGAAAATAAACAAACAAACAAGAGTGAAAGAAATACTGATGTTAAAATTTTTAGAAAACAAAATAAGCAATAAAATACTTTTTATCTTCAATCAAAAGCCTATTAGACTGGGCTGGAGTTGTGGCTCAGTGGTAGAACACTTGCCTAGCATGCATGAGGCACTGGGTTCGATCCCCAGCACCACATAAAAAAACTAAATAAACAAAAGTATAAATCACAAATTTTAAAAAAGCCTAATAGACACTTTGGATTTTTTTTATCTATCACTTACTCAAAAAATACGTTCATGGTTTCCAGTGCCTTGGGAGGCTTAGGTAGGAGGATTGCAAGTTCAAAGCCAGACTTAGCAATGGTAAAGTGCCAAGCAAATCAGTGAGACCCTGTCTCTAAATACAAAATAGGGCTAGAGATGTGGCTATGTGATTGAGTGACCCTGAGATCCCTGGTACACCACCCCCCCCAGAAAAAAATGTTCATTGTTCATAGTTTTTTTAATCTCATCTTTTTCTCAGTATGGGGAGTTGAACCTAGAGCCTCACACATACTAGGCAAGCACTCTATCTACTGAGCTACATTCTCGGTTCTTTCAGTCCTTTTTAAAATCTTATTTTGAAACAGAGTCTAGCTAAGTTCCTATGTTAGTCTCAAATTCAAGATCCTCCTGAATCAGCCTTCCAAGGAGCTGGGACGCCACACTTAGTTAAAATGATCTAAGTGTGGCGAAATTTCCATTTTAAGCCACTCACTCTGGCTCCTGTTATGCCAGTTCTAGGAAATTAATACAAAGTCAAACATAAATTACAAAACCATATTGAAGGGGCTTATAACATGGTCTGAAATAAACATCCATTCACCTAATGTCCAGTCTTAATAAATATTGACATTTGCCTAAATTCACTTCAGGTCTTTTTTTCAAAGGTATAAAATATTTCAAATATAGTTGCAATCCTATATTATCTTTTTTTAAATAAATATTTATTTTTTAGTTATAGGTGGACACAATATTTTATTTTTATGTGGTTCTGAGGATTGAACCCAGTCCCATAACCCCAGCCCTCCTATATTCTCTTTGCCAGACTCTTTTCTCCTTCTTCCTCCCCAGTCACAGGCACTGATAAAAGAAGAGTATATCATGTCCAAATGTTTATGTTTAAATGCCAGTTTATACACAAACAATATGCAGTAACACTTGATGTCCTTAACTTTTTCATCCATAGGAAATGGTTATACATCTATTTTACTTTTTTTTTTTTTTTTACTTACCATATTTTTATGACTTGTTTACATTGATAGATGCAATTTTAGTTCATTGGTTTTAACAGCTAAAAACAATTTTTACTTTTCCATTAATGCCCATCAGTAGACATGCAGGTTATTCTTCAACTTGTACTCTAATAAATGATGCTACTACCATTAACTTATCTTGCACATATCCCCTACACATAACCTAAAGTTTTCTTAATACTAGTTTTTGAGTATAGTCCTTAAAAAGGAAATACTGGGTGTTCTATCTTTCCAATGCCTATTTCCTTAGGTAAATAACCTTTGTTACAGTATAAGAATATTCCCATAATTAACTAAAGGTTATAAGTGAAGACAACTTTAAGGTACTTTCCATAGGAAAGGATTACATTCTATATTAGATTGTTTTGCTTATTTATTTATTTGGTACTAGGGGTTGAACATTCAGCGACACTTTACCACTGAGCTATCTTTTAATTTTTTATTTTGACATAGTATAAGCTCCTGAGACTGGCCTCAAACTTGTGAATCCTCCTATGTCGCTAAGATTACAGGCATGCACTCCTATACCCAGCTCCTGTTTTATTTTTAAAGTCATCCTGGAATGTGTAATTAGCAAAGACATTTGGAATAAAAAGCAACATACCTCATTAATGAGAAATTACCTGGGTAATACCTTTAGACGACATAATTGCCTGATTATAGAATATGCGGCCAAAGTGGTCTCGGTCTGGAAACGCATCAGCTTGTCGGGGTAAGTTGGCTCCTCCTGAGTCCACTGAACAAGGAAAATAAGATCAATAAGTGCATCTCCATCAGCAAAATATCTATCTATGCACAGCAGATTTGTATGAATGATAGCATCACTTCTTAATCACAAAAAAACCCTTTCCCTATCTTTCCAAACTGTCCTAGAGTCTTTATCACCAATCTCCCAACACAGCCAAAATGATTCAGTCTTCCCCAAACCCATTAGGCTTTCCTACTGCTATGCAAAATTCTACACAAATCGTTTAGCATTCTCTCCTTTGAGGACCCAGAAACTCCAGAAACTCTTAACCAGCTGAGCTAAAAAAGTATCTCTCCCTCTTCTAAACCAATACAGAAACCATCTACAGAATTCATGTGATAATTTATCACATATTGCCTTCTGATATTGATTCCATTGCAGACTGAAGTGGTAGATAAGAATGTCAGCCAAGTTCAAAATGGAGCTTGCTGCTTCATAGCTCTGTGATTATAGGCATGTTTCCTGGCCATTCTCTGCATCTGATTTCTTACCCATGAAATGAAAACAATAGTAGCTACTAATTATAGTTGTTTTCAGGATTACATGAAAATGTACGCAAAGTGTTTGGTTCAGCACTTACTCTGAGTGCACACAGAGAAAAAAAAAGTTAGCTAGTCCTATACACATTATTATTGCCTGTAACCATTAAGTCTTATATGGTGATTTAACACATTACATTCTGTCTTCAATTAATTATGAGCTTGCTAAAGCCAGAGATCACACAATACTCTATGTCCCCTATGGTGTCTGGCCCAACACATTCAATTAGCTGGGTCTCATTTGCTACTTTCTTTTTAATATTTTTTAGTTGTTCATAGATATTTATTTATTTATACAAAGTGCTGAGAATCGAACCCAGTGCCTCACACATGGCAGGCAAGTGCACTACCACTGAGCCACAGCCACAGCCCATCATTTGCTACTTTCTATATGTGCAAAGCAATTCATATTGCAAGTCTATCAGGTAAATTAACTTTCCCCCCAAAAAAGATAAATACATCAGTACCTGTTCAAAGGCCTGCATAAACCAAAACTATGTGCTGGAGTTTTATTGGACTAAACCAATATCCAGGAAGTGCCTGTTTTAAACTGAAATACCCTTTGATTTATTTTATTTTATGTATTTATCTATTTTTGTACTAGGGGTTGAATCCAGAGGTGCTTAACCACTGAGCCATACCCATAGCCCTCAGGAATTCACTAAGTTGCTAAGGGCCTCCCTAAGTTTCTGAGGCTGGCCTTGACCTTGCAATCCTCCTGCCTGAACCTCCCAAATCACTGGGATTACAGACATGCGTCACCACACCTCGCCCCTTTGATTTAAATGTATTTTAATTTCAAATATGAATTTACTTTCTTGGGAAATTAAGTTTATCTTAAATTATATCTGCTCACATTATATAATACTCAAGCATTTAATATAACACCTGGCACTTGAGCAATCCATAAATACCAACCAGCTTTTTTTAAATTTAAACCCTTTATGATTAACAGAAAAACAATATGCATATGAAAAAAAATCCAAACATACAGAGAAAAAACTGGCATGCACTAAAATGTTAGCAGAACTATTCCTCAGTAATATTATCATGGTAGTAGTTCTTATTTACTTTTTCTCCCAGAGTTCTGAGCAAAGAACATGCATTCTCTTGTTAATTATGGTAGAAATACTTCAGTATTTTTAAGTACCCATTGATGGTGTCATATATACAGTCTTGCCTTTTACCAACTAACAGTAGTGTTTTTACAACTCTTGTGACTTGCCCAGGTAGATGCAGGGGAGCCTGTTTTGCAGCGCAATTTCCTGTGCCCGCAGGTGTTTTTTCACAGTCACTGGGTAGTAGGAACCTCCTTTCACAGTGGCATCATTAGCAACAATCATGCACTCTACTCTGAAAGGCAAAAATTTCATTGGAAAGAGAATATGAGATATGTCTTCAAAATCAAAGGCCAATTACAGCTCACTACAAGACACTCTGAAGTAACTTTCAACTTCTATGACTACTAATAATTACTGAACAATCTTATGCCAAAAAGTAAGCTTCATTAGGGTTCACATATTCATTTATAAAATATGAGTACTTCTAACAAGTTCACACACTCATACTTGACTTTTAGACTTTTAAAATGTCACCAGTCCCTACATAATTAGTAAAAAATTAAAAACCTAAAACACATTTTCTTTCTTTTCTTTTTTTTTTTTTTTTTTACCAGGGATTGAACTCAGGGACACTCAAGCACTGAACCACATCCCCAGCCCTATTTTGTATTTTATTTAGATACAGGGTCTGTCCGATTTGCTTAGTGCCTCACCATTGCTGAGGCTGGCTTTGAACTCGTGATTCTCTTGCCTCAGCTTCCGAGCTGCTGGGATTTACAGGCTCACGCCTATAATCTGTGCCCGGCCTAAAACACATGTTCTAATGGTTCTTCAATGAAAGGGTTCTAACAAGATAATCATAATACCAAGCATAATAATATTAATCCAATCTCAAGGGCAAAGAATTCCCTCACAATAAAGCTTCAAATTTTCCTTTTGATAATTTGCAAAAAATGAAAACTGCCCCGTCAAGAGTACTAAGATTTTTGTGTGTGTGTTTTCAGAAGTTCCTCAATGTTACAGCCATTTTTTTTAAAGCTAAAAGAAGTCTAAAATACACTTATCTTGCTTGAAGACACAATGGATGCAAACTTTAAAACAGTACACAAGTGACAAAAATCTGGGGGGCAAGGGAAGATTGACCTGCCTGGCATTGCCACAGAACCTTAAGATCAGATTGAAATCTGAGACAGCAACAGCATGTTTTTTACAAAATATTTGGTTTTGGTTGTTATTTTATGTTCCCTAGAATTCTAAAGAGTAATTCATTGAATCCCTATTGAAAATCAAGAAAAGCAACTGAAATCCAACATATAGTAGGGTTATGCTTTTCCTATTAGTTAGCAGGGCTCCATACAAGATAAACAAGTCTCTTCTCTGAGCATCAGTTTTATTCACTAGATCACATAAAACTTTTTTCTACATTACAAGTAGCATTTTATTTAGAGTGGAATGCAAATTTTTAATAACTTTACCATTAAACATATAAAACTTTTCTCTTTTTTTGGTACCAGGGATTGAACCCAGGGGCACTTTACCACTGAGACACCCCAGCCCTTTTCATATTGTATTTAGAAACAGGGTTTCACTGAGTTGCTTAGGGTCTCACTAAGTCTCCTCCTGCCTCAGTGTCCCGAGCCGCTGGGATTACAGGCATGTACCACTCCAAACATATAAAACACTGAAGGAAATTTAGGCTTATGGCAGGTTGCTGAGCCATGACTCCACACTGATAGAAAATGTGTTCACACGTCCCAGCTCATGGGTGACACACCCAGAAAAGCTTAAGAAGCTCTGGTACTACAAGGAAGCCAGGCTGTGAAGTCAGAAAAAGCTCAACTGGCTCTGCCATTTTCTAGATATGTGACTTTGAACAAGAGACATAGTCCACTTTTGCAAATGTATTAAAAGATCACAGACAGGAGCTGGGGTTGTAGCTCAGTGGTAGAGTGCTTGCCTAGCACGCGCAAGACCCTGGGTTTGAATCTCAGCACCACATAAAAATAAATAAATAAAATAAAGGTATTGTGTACAACTTCAACTAAAAAAAAATACTTAAAAAAATTAATAATTTTAGATTTTAAGTACTATGAACATATAATAAAATAAGGCAATGTTGTTTAATTATTATAATAAGATATCACAAAACAAGGTAAAAGATGCAATCAAACATAGGGCTGGGGACATAGCTCAGTGGTAGAGCTCTTGCCTCAAATGCATGAGGCCCTGGATTCAGTCCCCAGTACCAGAAAAAAAAATAATAAAACCAAAACATAAAAACACCAACCAAAAAAAAACAAAGATGCAATCAAATATGGTAAATAATATAATAAAACAAGTTAATTGTGGTGGGGGCTATGATAAGATAAAATGGTTGAGGAATAAAAATAACAGCTGCCACCCATATACACTAGTACTGTCCTAAGGCACATGAGATATCTCATATTACAGAAACAGGCAAAGAAATTGGACAACACTAGGCAACTAAAGTGTTATAATAAAAGACTGAGGTGAGAAAAGTAGGGAGGGATCATATCTGACATGGACTTTATAAGCCATGATAAGGCTTATAAAGTCCAGAAAGATGGGATGCTGTACAATTACTCTTTGACTAGTCACTATTTCAGGCAAGCAGTCCTTGAATGAAACTGGCTTATAAATAAATTCCATATAAGTTTCCTCATTAAATGTCTTAGTATCTACTTCAGAAATTATAAAGGAGCCTGTGATAATGAGAAATACATACTTTGGTGCTCCCCCACTCCATTCCTGCCACAGAACTCCTAAAATCCTTGCAATTTCTGGGTGCCAGGAACAACTTTTGCTGTTCCTAAGTGCCTTTCAATCACACCTGAGTTTATGTTAATGCTATGAACTATGATTGGGATGAGAGTTCCCCAAAGGTCCATGTGTTAAAAGCTTGGTCCCTGGGTGGTAGCACTATTGAGAGGTGATGGAGCCTTTGGGAGATAGGACCTTGTGGGAGGTCCTTATGCCATGGAGGGTGTGCCCCAAAAGGTCTTGTGAAACTCCATCCATCCTCTCTCTTCCTGCTCCAATTCAAGATGTGAGCAGTTTGCTCTAGCACATGCTCCCCACCACTGCTATCCATAGTCCTCATCAGAACTGAGCTGATGCAGGTGCCATGCTTTGGAACCTCCAGAAATGTGAACCAAAATAAACCTGTCTTTAATTCATAAATAGCCTCTCTCTGATAATCTCATTGTAGTAACATGAAGCAGGCTACTAAAGTTAGCATTTTTAGTGTACATGCATTTGACTACATAAGGTCAGATGTGGAATTTTCCATCTGTGGCACGGAAAATATCATATAAAATTACCTTTGAATTATGTGTATAAGGTGTGGTGTACATGAAACATAAGTGAATCTCACATTTAGACTTGGTTCCCACCCCCAAAATATCTCATTATATATGCAAATATCCCAAAATCTGGGAAAAAAAATCTGCAATCAGAAACACCTCTGTTCCCAAGCATTTCAGAAAGGGAACACTCAATCTTTAATAAAATATAAATACAGTCATGCACCACATAATAATGTCTCAGTTAACAACAGACCACATACACAATGGTGATCCTTTAGGATTACACTGTCTAGCAGCATCATAGAGCCATAGCTCTATGATGTTCACATAACGCATTTCTCAAATCATATCATAGTTTTTAAGCAACACATGACTGTATACATTAGGGGAACAAAATGGAAGAGCATGTTCTAAGATATTGACAGTCATTACAACGAGAGATATGATAAAGGGCAATTATTCTACTTAATTATGTATTTCCATAACATAGGAATTTAGTTTAATTTTGCATTAAAAATGTCTCCATACTGGGTGAATATTAAGCAAAGAGCCATGGGGGAAACATGGGAGTAAAAATCAAGGAAGAAGCAACAATGGTAAATGGCTATAGCTGCAGGCATGGATCATGGGGAGAAGGTGGAGGAACACACCATAAAGCAACATCTGTGTCAAAGTCAAGTGTGCCAGGCTGAGTCAGACTAAGATCAAAACCATGTTACTCTCTAAGCCTGCATCCTCTGCACAATGGTGAGGACTATGATAGCATCCATGCTCACACAGCTGCCGTGAGGATGAAGACAGGCAATCACTACAGTGCCTGGCATAATACCTATGTGGTAAATAGGACCACATTCAGAAACATATACAAATAAATTTAATATTGAGGAATCTAGAGTCCCTGAGCCTACAGTGGTTCTCAAACTTAAGCATCCAAGAACTATTAAGCAACATATGTTGCAGAACTTGTTAAAATGCAGACTGCAGGGCCTCACCCCAAGCATTTCTGAATTAGTACTTCCAGGAAGACTGGAGAATCTGCTTTTTTTCTAATAAGTTCCCAAGTGATGCTGATGCTGCCTGGGGACCAAACCTGAAAAAATATTCCTCTAAAAATGGTTATCACCCCAGGTGAGCAAGAGATTGCCTAGGGAGCCTTTGAAACTACACGCCAATCCCACACATAGGAATGCTGATTCAGTGGGAGGTCTGAATTGGATCTCAGGAACTTTTGCTGGGGGTTTTTTCCTTCAATTTTTATTTCTAAAGCTCCACAAATGAATCTAGTGCAGGTCTGAGTAGGATAATCAGGTCCTAAATTATATAAATAGCACAAAGCTTGCATGCAAATATGCAAAGTGAGTGCTGGATGCCTGCATCTCGTCAAAGTCCTCTTCTTCCTGGGTACCATTATTATTATTGTTGTTGTTGTTGTTGTTACCACAGGGATTAAACCCAGGGGCGCTCAACAAATGAATCACATCCACATCCCTTATTATTTTTAACTTTGAGACAGGATCTTGTTAAGTTGCTTAGGGCCTTGTTAAGTTGCTAAGGCTGGCTTTGAACTCCTCCTGCCTCAGCCTCCCAAGATGCTAGGATTACAGGTATGTGCCACCATGCCCAGCTGACCCTCATTACTGAGCTTTAGGTAGAATACTCACCCTGATACTCTTCCAATGCCTGTAATGATGCCACCTGCAGGGACTTCCTCATTACCATATAACTGGTAACCTGCAAACTGGGATAACTCCAGAAACGGAGACCTGAAAGGAAAAAGAACATTTTTGAATTAGTGTCTATATATATATATATATATATATAAACATATGTGTGTGTGTATATCTATATATATACATATATATATAGTCATAATATACATTTTTAAGAAAAGGAAACTATTTTTTCAAATATGCATATTATACATAAAATCTATAAAAAGAGTTGGGCACAGTGAAACATGACTATAATTCCAGCTACTTCAAAGGCTAAGGCAAAGGGCCCTCTTAACTCCAACCCCATCTCCTATTAGTTTCTCCTTCATTCCCTCAATGCCAAACACAATGATCTCCTGGACATCAGCATACCTAGCATACATCCCACCTCTGGGCCTTTGCCCTGCTTATTTCCTCTGCCTGCAACATTTGTCCCAGCTATTTATAGGGCTATCTCTTGTCCCTCCTTTAAATCTTTGCTCAAATGTCAACTTCTCAAAGAGTTCTACCCTAACCATCCCACTTAAAACTACAACTTGTCCATCATGGTCTCTCCCTTACTCTGGTCTATCTTTTATTTTCCCCACAATACTTGTTACCTTCTAGCATAATGTATAACTTAAAACATTTATTATTTATCTTCTGTCTCCCTCTGCCATAATATAAACTCCAGTAGGGCAAAACTCTTCATTTGTCTTGTTCATTGACGTATTATTAACGTCTAAAACAGTGCCTGACACACAGTACACTCCCAATAAACCTTTGCTGTTTGAATTTTATAAGAATCAAAATTCAAACCGGGTGTGGTGACACATGCCTGTAATCCCAGCGGCTTGGGAAGCTGAGGCAGGAGGATCGTGATTTCAAAGTCAGCCTCAGCAACTTGGTGAGGCCTTAAGCAACTCAGTGAGACTCTGTCACTAAATAAAATACAAAAAAAAAAAAGGTCTAGAATGTGGCTCAATGAATAAGTTTCCCTGAATTTAATCCCAGATACCAAAGCAAAAAAAAAAAAAAATTCAAAATCACTTATTGATAACACTGTCTAATAAAGTACCACAGAACAGAGAACACTGTGTCAGCATTGGGTAGGTACTAACCCTGGGTCTATAAGGGTGTCGACTCTTTCTCTGGGTAATAGTTTTCCTCTTGCTGTGTGCAGTGCTCGGGCTTTCTCACTACCTCCTAGAATAAAAACATGATTAGATAGATCAGACCTAGATAAGATCTCCATTCAAATTAATGCCAGGAAAACATATAATGCTCAAGACAAAGCAAGGCACTCTTATTTATTTTTTTAATATTTATTTTTTAGTTGTAGTTGGACACAATACCTTTATTTTATTTACTTATTTTTATGTGGTGCTGAGGATTGAACCCAAGGCCTCCAACGTGTTAGGCGAGCACTCTACCATTGAGCCACAACCCCAGCCCCCAGCCCCAAAGCAAGGCACTTTTAAAAAGTTCAATATATCTTATGAGAAACAGCTAATTTTTCAGTTCAGTCACTCAACTTGTCAGCTACCAATTTTTTGAAGTAATTAAAGAAACAGGATTTTGTTGTGTTTTGTTTTCAAATCAATCTATCTCTGATCCTAGAGTATATCTTTTACATGTTCTGAATTCACTAGTAATTATAAAAAGTTACTCAGTATTTTCTTTGCAACTCATTCATTGCAAAAACTGCCTCATTGCCACTCTGTTAAATATTTACCACATATATCTAGCATTATACTAAGTCCTAGATAAAATATGAAAATTCCTGTCTTCGTTTGGATGAGGTAAAAGCATCATTGAGAAATTACTAGCCCAAAAGGCAAGTGAGGACTTATGTAAAAGTGACATTAGTGACCCACAACACTTTAAGTCTGCAAATGGGAGAACTGAACACCTTTACAGCAATTAGAAAGTCCCCTTTTGTTAGTCTCTTGACTCAGAAATGGTCTTTGGTATTTCCCAACATTACTTACATCTTAGTAGACAAAATCACAGTAATTAAAGAGATGCTAGGGTAACCTGACCAGACTACTTGAGGCCAAAGGGCCCCAACCTCACGTACCCCTCCTGGGCTGAGGCCTTAGTGTCTTGGGAGTACCTATGACCCACTCTCTGTGAACCAAAGTATCAAGCAGTACCTTAAAATGTTCATTTTCTCTATTTAACATTTATTTTTTAGGTGTAGATGGACACAATGCCTTTATTTTATTTACTTATTTTTATGTGGTGCTGAGGATGGAACCCAGGGCCCCACCTGTGCTAGGCGAGCGCTCTACCGCTGAGCCACAACCCCAGCCCCTTAAAATGTTCGTTTTCATTGCTGCCCCCAAAATGGTCTCAATATAGTCTCTGTATAATGCAAAACTCAACTATTTAAGAAAGCCATTTCTTTGTTTACTTGGGTAAGAAAATAAGTTTCTATCTATTTCAAACAGGTTTCCAAATACAACCATTTTTCCAAACAAGGACTCTTTGCTGTACCTAAAAGGATTTTTTTTTTTTTCCTGAAGAGGTACATGGCATATTTTTAAGACCAAATCTGTCTTCAGGTTACCAAGAAAATTACATCATACATCTAATCTTCTTTTAAAATGAAATAATCCTGGGAAGGAAAGACTTAGTGCCGTCCCCGACCAGCAAGGGCAGCTAAACTAAGGGCTCACTCGAGTGAATTTCCTAAGGTATCAAATAAAACACAGACACACAATTTACCTTTAATTCAAGCCCCGGGACCACTCCTCTGCCCTTGGCCTCAAGCTCCCCAAATGGGAGATCGAGGAATGTAATGAAAGGCTGGTGGGAGAGAGCAAGCTCGTTTGGGAGTAGACTTTTATTGGGGGACTCTTGATTCTTTAGAAATTTCCATTCAATAGAGATCAAGAGGGGCATGGTTACAAGGACAGGTAAGGTAACTCCACCCCTAGGGATGTAGGAAGGCATGCCCAGCATGAAGACACATTTGGGGACATTTTTACGACTTTCAAGATGGGGTGGGGGGTGGGGCGGGCACTGTCTACAGAACCACTTTGATGTGGCCAGATCATGGGAAGTGACTGACAGATCCTCACCAATCAGGAAAGGAAAATGCTGGTCACATAATGTGGTGTCCTCCCACAACTTAGTTACAAAATATTGTGATTAAGTCAAATGGCTTTTCTCTTTTCTCCCAAGCACTGGTCAAGACCTTAAGAATCATGTTTAGGGGTCAGGGAGAAAGGGACAAAAGGATCTCAAGACACTGAGGCCTCAGCCACGGGATGGGTACATGAGGTTGGAGCACTTGGGCCTTCCAAAAGGCAAAGGGGGAAAAAAAAGAAAGAAAGAAAGAAAAAGCAGAGGAAATTCTGCAGAATATGGACACATTTAATATCTTGATTGTAGTTATGGTTCCCTGAGTAAACATGCATGTCAAAATGGCTTTAAATTGCATACTCTAATGTAGTACTGTAGGTCAACTATACTTCAATGAAGTATTTAAAAATAAATATTTAAAGAAAAATTACTGCAAGGAAACCAGGTTAGGGTGAGAAGCAGTGACATAAGAGCCCTTTCAGGGCCTAGCAAGAGAGGGAATAGAAGGCAGATTTGGGTGACAAAATGGTGCTAAGATATGCTTTAAAAAGAAAAAAAGTACTTAAGCCAATATCATTTTCTTAATTCTGCCTAGAATTTGACCTTTTAATTTGGAGCAGCTGGTGAATTTTGGTTTCATTAGGAAGAACCAAAGCTTGGGTTAATCTTGATACAGACTTACAGAGCACAGAATGAAGCCCCTCTGCATTTTAACAAGCATAGTAAACTGGGTTTGATGGTGCACACTATAATCCCAGCAACTTGGGAGGCTGAAGCAGGAGGATTACAAGTTTGAGGCCAGCCTCAGCAACTCAGCAAGAACCTGTCTCAAAATAAAAAATATAAAGGGGTTGAGGATGTGGCCAGGTTCAATTCCCAGTGCCAAAATTAATTAATTAAAATAAACAGACATAGTATATTTGGACCACATGACCGCACAACACAGGACCTCAGTTTTCCAAAGATTCTTTTTAAAACATTTTGTGTTAATTATCTCCATTCCCATAGACTTGGTGCCAGAAAACATGCTTTCATTAACCTCTCATTTAGATCAAACTCCCACTGCATGTACTTTACTGTTTTGCATTGATTCTCAGATAGGTAATCTGCTCACATTTTTAACATCCCTGAGATCAGAAAGCATTTTACAATTTACAGCATCTTTCTATTGCTATCTGACAAGGGGCAGTCATGACCTAGCTGTCTGCCTTTGCATGCACTAATGTCTAACTGTTGTCACTTCAACTGTACTACACACACTGCTGGAACTCCACGAGTGGAATTTAACTTCCATTTTTAAACATCTTCAAAAAATTATGCAAGTCTTATCCTTAGATCATTAAAGGCCCCCTCTCCACTTCAACTATTAAGACCATTTGTGTTTTTCTACAGTCATAAAATTATAAGCCAGTGTAAAAACAAAGCACTTCTGATTTTATCAAAACACTTACTTCAATTAACTTGAATTAAGAAAAACGCTTAGTTCTGGCTATTCTGAATAACACCACAGGGGTAATCCTTTTCCCACCTACAGAAATGACTAAGTTACTCTTCATGTGTCCTACACATTCCAACAAGGAAGAAGGGGGAGATCAAAGACAGAAGAGCCCTGAGAAACCTGAAACAAAGGCAAAGGTGAGAAAACAATAATGAACAAAAAAGAGGGCAAGAGTCAGCTACTTTGTCAACTTTATCTATCACAAGTTCTCTCTATTGAAAAACGTCAAGTGTTATTTATGAAACAACCTCAAACACCTGCTCCTTTATCCTGCCTGAAAACTATTTAGGAAATTGCATGAATTAAAAAATCAGGATGACTACAGAAACAGGAGGGGAAGGAAAATGAGCAATATTCCCTAACTCTTGATCAATACCATCATTGCTAAACTAGCCTACGACCATTCACAGAACAAAATTAGAGAAGAAAATGCCCAGAGCAAGGTGCATGAAATCCCTTTAAACAACAAAACATACAAACACATACACACACGTTTTTCTGTTTAGGTTATTTTGAAACTGCCCAGAGGTCAATCAAAAAATGTATGTTTGGGCTGGGGTTATAGCTCAGTGGGTAGAGCACTCACCTCGCACGTGTAAGGCACTGGGTCTGATCCTCAGCACCACATAAAAATAAAATAAAGGTACTGTATCCACCTACTATAAAAAAATTCTTTTAAAAAAATGTATGTTTAAGGTGTGCATGATGGTGCACGTCTGAAATCCCAGCAGCTCAGGAGGCTGAGGCAGGAGATCAGCAAAAGAGAGGTGCTAAGGCAACTCAGTGTCTCTAAAAAATACAGGGCTGGGGATGTGGCTCATGGTGGAGTGCCCCTAAAATCAATCCCTGATACACACCTCCCCTCAAAAAAATGTATGTTTAGAAATACACTGAAGTCAGGCACAGTGGCACATACCTATAATTGCAGCGGCTTGGGAGTCTGAAGCAGGAGTATCATGAGTTCAAAGCCAGCCTCAGAAACTTAGCAAGGATCTAAGCAATTTATAAAGACCCTATCTCAAAACTTTAAAAGCAAAAATTTTAAAAATGGGGCAGGGTGTGGCTCAGTGGTTAAGTGCCCCTGGGTTCAATCTCAGGTACTGCCCCCTCCCCCCAAAAAAGTATGTTTAGAGCAGGGGATGTAGCACAGTGGCAGAGTAGTCCCCTAGCATACACTAGGCTCTGGGCTCAAACCCCAGTACCGTTAAAAAAAAAAAAAAAAAAGTTTGGAAGGATTATTTATGGATGAATAGAGGCATCTTTTCAATGCCTCTTTTCAAGTTTCTATGAGCATATATTATTTTAAAATGTGTGTGTGCACATATGTCAAATATCTATCTGAATAGTTCAATTCTAGGTAAAACTGTGAAGTCCTAAGTAATCCTTTCTCCTGTCTCCCTATGTCACCTCCCCAGAGGGCCCTGCTCAGCCTTCAGGCAGCCAGCCTTCACCTAGGCACATCAGAACCCATAGTCCTCAGCAGGAAGCGAATGGTGTCTGACCGCTCCCTGATTCAACCCACCTATCTTAATGTTCTAGGGCAATACTCATTTATCAAATCAAACTGGGTAACAGTTGGAACTATGGAATAACCATTCCCAACAAAACATGTTTTTATTTCAGCTAGAGTTTTGGCTTTTTTTTCTGGAAACAAAGCCTTAATCTAAATGGCTTCAAGAGTATAAATTCCACTATGAATCAGCCTCCTTATATCAAAGAAAACATTCGGCATTTGGTTTTTGGGGACTGGTTAACTTCACTTAGCACTATCTTCTCTAACTCCAACCATTTACCTGCAAATGTCATGATTTTTTTCTCTTTTATTGCTGAGTAATATTCCATTGTGTATATATGCTACATTTTTAATCCATTCATCTATTGAAGGGATAGGGAGTGGGAACATGGGAGGAACAGAAGAACTCTAGATAGGGCAGAGGGGTTGGAGGGAAAGGGAGGGGGCATGGGGTAATTAATGATGGTGAAATGTGATGATCATTACTATCCAAAGTACATGTATGAAGACACAAATTGGTGTGAATATGCTATGTTTACAACCAGAGATATGAAAAATTGTGCTCTATATATGTAATAAGAATTATAATGCATTCTGCTGTCACATATAAATTTAAAAATTTATATAAAAAAGTATGAATTCCAGTCATCCTTCAGAAAAGCATAAATAAAATACAGGATATTTTGCCTCTCAAATCATACCCCGAATGACAAAATCTGTATCATTCTTTAATACCATTTTCCCCACACTAGGGCAGGGATTCAAGAGCTACCTGGTCAAAAAGAATGACTAATGTCAGCTACCCCATTTTGTAAGTAACCCTCCATTTATTTGCACACACCTAAATAGGGTAGCCTAGGCCAGTATAAGTGACAATCACTGCTTCTGCCTGTTTTTCTTTCTCCCTTTTCCTGAAAGCAGTACTGCCACCACCATGAGGTTCCAGGAGTTACCCGCCCAGTCTCCTAAAGCCCTACATGACATGGGTCCTGATGGCATAGTTACAAATTCCCCTGACACAGTGATTGGGCCACAGGGTAAACATGTGACCCAAAGTGGGCCAATCAGAACTTCCCATAATGGTGATGAAAGGATAGCTATCAATTCCTCAGTCTGAACTATATGGATATAATCCCTGGCCTACCAGCAACCTAGCTCCCCACCTCATGGAGAAGCCTGGAGAGATAGGATCCACACCATACATAAGGAGTGGTAAAGTCTTGGAGATTCTGGAGCCCCTGATCCAGTCAATACTGCCTTCCCATTGGGTACAAGAAACAATAAATGGTGCTTTCCACCTTAAACACTTTTGATTTGGATTTCTGTGACTTGAAACCAAAAATACTGGACACAGGTCATTTTTAATATTCTTTTTTTAAAAACTGTGCTCGGCAACTTAGAAAGACCCTAAGCACTTAGCAAGGCCCTGTCTCAAAATTAAAAATTTAAAAAAAAATAGCTGGAGATATAGTTCAGTAGTTAAGTGAATCTGGGTTAAATCTCCAGTACCAAAAAAAAAAAAAATGTGTGTGTAATAAAGGACAAAAACACTGAGTTTATTTCTTCCGTAATGTACAAAACAAATGAATAACCAACTTCAGATGGTCTCTCTATTCACCCACCATTAATCAATTACCTTGCATCCATAAAGTCCTCAGAGAAAAAAATATAAATATTATTATTTTCATTTCCCTAATTACTTCTATAGGGGGAGTCTGTCCTCTAAATTTGGTAAATCATACCTAAGAATACAACAGTACTCGTAAGTCAAAAGTAAAACAGTTCTCTATCTGTAAAGATACTGGGGAAAATTTTTTTAATGAAGACTATAAAAATAATATAGCAACTCTTAAATTAGGCACTGGTCATATATTAAGAATTTATTTTGAGCTGGATGCGGTGGTGGCACACACCAGTAGCTCAGGAGGCTGAGGCATAGGATCTTGAGTTCAAAGCCAGCCTCATAGCAACTTAGCAAGGCCCTAAGCAACTCAGTGAGACCCTGTCTCTAAACAAAACTATAAAAAAGGGCTAGGATGTAGCTCAGTGGTTAAGCCCCCCGGGTTCATCCCCAGTACAAAAAAAAAAAAAAAGAGAGAGAGAGAGAATTTATTTTGAAAATCACCTGTAGTTTTAAGTTACATGGCTTTCTAAACTAAAAATGTCATATAGACCCATAACAGTACAACAGAATCATCAATCATCATACGTGTAGTATGTTCCTCTCCATGATGTAATTACTTCCAATCAAAAGAATTCCTTTTATGTAAAATTAAGAAACAGAGGAGCTAGGGTTGTGACTCAGTGGTAGCGTGCTTGCCTAGCATCCGTGAGGCACTGGGTTCAATTCTCAGCACCTCATACAAATAAATAAAATAAAGGTTCACTAACAACTAAAATATATATATATATATATATTTAAAAAAAAAAAAGAAAAGAAAGAAAGAAACAGGGATGTGAGCCAGGTGTGGTGGAACCCATCTGTAATCCCAACAACTCAGGAGGCTGAGGGAGGAAGATCACAAGTTCAAAACCAGTCTCAACAACTTAGCGAGACCATGTCTCAAAAAAAAAAAAGGCTGGATGTGGCTCACTGGTTAAGTGCCCCTGGATTCAATCCCTGGTACCAAAATAAATAAATAAAGTATATGGGATGATGTGTTAGGTTAGGTGCAAATATTGTACTATTTTATAAAAGAGATTCAAGCAGCCACAGATTTGGTATCTTCTGGGGTTCTGGAACCAAACTCCTACAGATACCAAAGGTTGAATATTTACAGGAAAAAATAAAACATCTGCATACCAAAAACAAAATGCATAATTTTAAGAGTCAAAGGCTTAATGCTACTAGTTTTTCCTAAAAGCAATATTGTAAAAGGACATCTTAATTTAAAGCATAAACTGAAGAGTAAGTGTTGTTTACCTAGTCTTATATACTGTGCTCGTTCATGGAGTTGATCCACTAGTGCTTTCATCTGCTCATAGTTCTCCTAAAAGAGAAATAGAGGAGGAGGGCAGGAACATTAGAAAACAATGTTACCAAAATAAGGGTTAACACATCAACCTGTCCCACCTCTGTGTGAACTCCACTAGGGGCCACCCACCCCATCAATTTGGTCTCCACTTGAGTCATCCCACGAAATGATTAATTGCTGCCCATTTCTGTTCAGCTCTTCTTCATGGCCACCACCCTGCAGGGCCATCTCTCTAAACCTTATGGCTCTTCTGAAGCCTAACTCATCTTTCTCAATTTTAACCCTACTTCTGGTTACTCCTACTCATTTGAATGTCTTTCTTCCTTAAATATCTACTGAAATTAACTGATTTTTGTTTTCCTGTTTTTAAGAAATATAAAGGAACATAAGCTTCCTCCCTTTCCCATCCAACTGGGTACTGAACCCAGGGGCTCTCTACTACTGAACTATATATCCTCGGCCTCTTTTTTTGAGACCTTGTTTCACTAAGTTGCCCAGGCTGGCCTTAAATTTGTGATCCCACGTCAGTCTCCCAAGTTGCTAGGATTATAGGCATGTACCACAGCCAGTACCCAGTTTATTTCCTGTTTTCAGAGGCTGTGAGAGTTCCTGAGGTCATAGTTTATTCTACAATCTCTTGAATTGCAAAATCCAGTAAATAAAAAGAGCAAAGCAGCATGAAGTTAGGGAAAAGACCCTGTGCCTGGATAGGAAGGTCCCAGATCCTGACCTCTGTGAGCCTAGTGCACTACTTCCCATTTAATGCCACCTAGCCCCACATCATAGGGAAAAGAGCCTGCTGGAAATCCAGCTCAAAGAGATGCCTAGAACAATGTTCCCCTCTCTTGACTCTACCATGAATTTACCAGGGAACTTTAAAAAAAAAAAGTGATTCCTGGTCCTATCTTCAGTCTGAGGTCCCTGGCTGCAGGTGTGGCCTGGGCAATAGGAATTTAAAAGCTCCTCAGGTGATTCTAACCTATGACACAGAGAAACAGGGGCCTAAAATCTCCACTTCTGAGGGCCCACTCAGGGCAAACAGGACCTACAAAAGATGAGGAGGTGGTAAGAGACAAAGATGCCTTCTTTCTGCAGGAACTTTTCCAGATTGTAATGGTTATTTGTTGATACCAACAAAAGGCAGGGGAAGTCAAGAACTCCTGTTATTATTACACCCAGGAGATGAGATCACTTTTCACATATAGCAAACACAGAAACTCAGTTTATGAACTGCCTCTGAAATAAAGCTCTAGTGCCAGGACATGTCTGTTCAGTGAGTCACCAAGAGGTGGCATTCTAGCAGTGTGAATGTCACTTGATTTGCATGAAAAAACTTGGAGCTGTTTTTCAGAATCTCTGAAACAAGTCTCCTGGGTGGAAACTATTCCTTGTAAGCAAGGGCTGTGTCCTGAACGTGGACATCTAAGAGTGCCCTAACAGAAGGACAAGACAGTGTTTAAGGATTTCCTCATGTAGCATAAACCAAAGTGGCAGAGAAGGGCTCTGTGAAACAGCAGCCACCTCCATGTCGTTCACCAAGTGACCTTTTTGGGGCTCTCGGCCTAACCCTGGACTACAGCCACCTTGCCATGGTTCAAGAACAGGTACGGGCTCTGACCTATTCTGATTGATATAATGTTTCTAAGTAGAAAGGAAAGTAGATTCTTTTTCACTGCCTAGGAAACTAATATTCTTTGGGTTTGTTTTGTGTTTAAAGGTCCTCCTCTTGTCATTCATTGCTATACTGATTCCAGTATTAAAAACCCAACTAGTTAAGTGTCTAAATGTTTGGGGCTGGAGATGCAGCTCAATGGTAGAGTGCACTAAAAAGAAAAAGGGGATATATATATATATATATATATCGTATCTAAGTGTTTCCAAAACCTTGAATCTTAAGGATCCTAAACTAAAAGTGTGGATTGGGTGGAGGGGGGACAGCCACGACTGTATTTGCTCCAGTTCAGTCCTGCTTGCTCAACAATTCAACAATACTAGGAAAGGACTAAACAGTGTTGCATTAGGGCAAATTACAGAATCAAGGGCTTCACCAACAGTTTCAGCTCCCCTGGGATTTGTTGTTATTGTCATGAACTTTCTTTATGGAAATCTTCAGACATATATAAAAGTAAAACAACTAGTATAATGAACCAAATGTACCCAAATGTACTTCAATGATTATCCCAATATGGCCAAAGTTGTTTCCTTCATGCCCCACCCTGAAATATTTTGAAGAAAATTCTAGACATAACATTTCATTTATAAGCATTTCTGTATCTCCAAAAGATAAGGACCATCATCACATATCAATCTGTTAGTATCATCAAATATCCAATCAGTGAAGACATTTTCCCAACTGTCAGATTTGGGTTTTTTTATAGTTTATTTAAAAAAGATTCTACCTGGTAAGCTCTATACAGTCATAATTAGCCATTGTGTTTCTTGAGTCTTTTCTAACAGAAGTTCTCCCATCTCCTTTTTCCTAAAATGTTCTGTTGTCCTACCAGTGTTTCCCATAGTTCTAAATACATCCCCATAGTGTCCTTTAACAAGTTCTTCCTCTATAGACCCTGAAGCTGATGAGATTCTGGAATATCTTCAGTTTTTTCATTTTTACCCCATCCTATCAAGATAAAGCTGACCTTCCTCCACCTGTATTCTACCTCCTGGTCTCCTGCCATCTTTGCACACCACAAGCACCAAAGTTCAGAGCTGATTAAAAAAAAAAAAAAACTAGCTTGTATACATACAGAGAAACCAAGGGACCCTTTGAGAGTATCCAAGGTCCAAGGTCCAATCACTGCAGCCAACAATACCCCATTAAGAAAAGCATCCATCAAAACTACAGCTAGTTACGCAAGGGATTTTTTTTTTTTTTTTTTTTTTTTTTTTTGGTATAGGGATTGAACCCAGGGGCACTTAACACCTAAACCACATTCCCAGACCTTTTTTTGTATTTTATTTAGATATAGGGACTCACTAAATTAGCTGAGGTTGGCTTTGAACTTGCGATCCTCTTGTCTCAGCCTCCCAAACTGCTGGGATTATAGGTGTTTGCCACCGTGCCTAGCTATACACAGGATCTTTACCTAGCTAAGACAACCTCACAGTTAAGAAATAAGGAGGACAGTCACTCACTGCCAAGGTTTGCTGAAGTGCACAGTGGTGGAAGTGAGAGTGAGCAGAACACACTACTGCTCTAATGTAAAGGAAGTACAGCAGAGACAACAGGGACTGAGGCCAGGCTAAACAGAACTTCCGTATGGCATCTCTCACACTTGGCATGACTTTATCTTTTCTCCTCCTCCCCCCCACTTTTTTCTTTTTTGGTTCCAGAAACTGAACCCAGAAGTGCTTAACCACTGAGCCACATCCCCAACCCTTTTTGTTTTTTGAGAAAGGATCTCACTAAGTTACATAAGGCCTCCCTAAGTTGCTGAAGCTGGCTTTGAACGTGCAATCCTCCTACCTCCATCTCCTGAGTTGCTGGGATTATAGGCATACACCTCTGCACCTGGCTTTTGGTCCCCCTTTTATAGGTGTGCTTGCTTCAAAGTTTATTGCAAGTGGCTGGAGGTCCCAAGAGATAAGAGTATAACTAAGAGATCTTTTAACATACAATATATCTAAAGGATACACATCCACTCTCTCCATGCTTATTATGTGAGACAGAAATTATTGGCTGTTCATCCATATCCATTCCTCCCATTGTCCTCAATGATTAAATCCAAAAATTATTGGGGGGGGGGGGTTACTGGGGATTGAACCAGGGGCACTTAACCACCAGCCACATCCCCAGTCCTTTTTATTTTCTATTTTGAAATAGGGTCTCACTAAATTGCATAGGGCCTTGCTAAATTTCTGAGTCTGTCTTTGAACTTGCGAACTTCCTGCCTCAGCCTCCAAGGTCACTATGATTACAGCAAGTAAGCACCCCTGAGGCCAGCTTAAATCCCAATTTCATTCAAGATGGCAATATGTCCAACTGTTAAAAGTAACACATTCCAGCCTTCTTCTGTAGATAGGCATGGCCATTCACTCTAACCAATAAAGCATAGGCAGAAGTTATTAGGTATGACTTTAAATATAGTTCCTTAAGAAAGGAAAAGCAGAGGTTGAGGATGTAGAGTGCTTTGTCTACCATGTGCAAGACCCTGGCTTCTATCCCCAGTACCACAGTAGTGAAAAATGACAGAGGGGAGAGGGGCTGGGAAGAAAACAAGCAGATGAGGTTGCTCCCTTGCATACTCATTCTTTTCCCTGCTTTGGAACTCAGGTATAACAGTTTGAGCAGATATCATGGGCCATAAGATAGACTGCAGTACTTGTTTAAAATTCTTCCTTCCTGGGCTGGGGTTGTAGTTCTGTGGTACAGCGCTTGCCTGGCATGTGTGAGGCACTGGGTTCGACCCCCAGCACCACATTAACTAATTAATTAATTAAGGTACTGTGTCCATCTACAATTAAAAAATATATTTTTAAAAATTCTTCCTTCCTTCCACTGTGAGAAAAACAGGCCTCCCCACCCCAGTCTCTGAATGTGCCAGTAGAATGTGGATAAAGTCACTGCACAATTCCAAATAGGGTTTCAGAGGGACCACGTTTCCAAACTCTCCTCATGTGGCCTTGACCCCCACGAGAAGACTCGCATCCTCCATGAGGAGAGGAGCATCCCCCACAGTCTTCTTGATCTGGTTCCTAGAATAAGAAGCAAATAAAGCAGAACTGTCATGTTCTCAAGTAGAACTGCCACTACCAACTCAAAGATCCAGGAGCAAAAGACAAATATTTCTTCTTTTAGACCTCGATATCCTGGGATTGCTTGGGACATATTAGTGAGGCAAAAGCTGGCTAATACAGATCTTAAGATGACTTTGAATAGAGAAAGAAGAGCAGCAACAGTTATTTTTCCCCCAAGTACTGGGGATTGAACTCTAGGAGGCTCCACCACCAAGCTATATCCCCAAACCTTTTTATTTTTTACTTTTAGATGGGGTAAATTGCCAAGGCTGGCCTTG